TACCACGCAATATGCACAAAAATGTTACACAAGTAACTATGACCACGTACTCAGTGATGTATTTTTATTTCTTTGAGAGAGGAACAAATGAAAATGTAGGTGATTCCCAATATAATGGAAAGCCACTGTCTGTCCACATATAATGTAGTTTTGAATTTTACTGCTAAAAAGTAAAAAAAAACTAGTAGTTTTGAACAACTACCAACTTATTTCTGCATCACTGTGTGCTATTTGAGTAAATATTCCAATGGGTTATTTGTGCTATTCTCATATTAAGTAAATAAGTAGATTGTCCATTTAATATCTGGGATATTTGTATACATGGAACGAGCTACCATTTGGTTCTGCAGTAAAATGTGATCCTCTATTCAATGACTTATCCAAAATCACAAACTGTTATGTGGCATGGACTATTTATTTGTAATCACTATGCATGTTAACATTCTTGATCACATCATGTTATTCTTATAACTGTTTATGTTCACTGATCAACAACTGTATATTTTGGGGATAGGTACTAGTTGACATGTTCTTGGTGATGTTCTTTATGAACCATTAAACAGATCTTGATAACTTTATATTTGTGACTTGTAAATACAATGCAATATCACAAAGATTGTTATGTAATACCATCTAATTACATTAATTATATTAATATATATAGATGTCCACTCATCTGCTACTCACTTGCTTGCAAGTTGTATTTTTTTTTTTAAATAAAAAACCATTCCTGAAAATGGCAAAAACAGGAAATAATGGAACGATCACAAAAAACAAACAAACTACTTCTATACCTTGCATGTATCCTCAACTAGGGTATGTAATTTGCATAACTGGGATCTATTTCTGGAATAAACCAATCAGAAAACTACCATACCATATTTGCATACATTTAATATGCAAATGATATTTGACAGAAATTATAATTTTTGTTTGAACTTTTAATGTTCAACTTTATAGGCTGTCATAGTTGAGTTGGCATTGGAAAAAATAGTCTACATCGAATTCGTGATTATTAGCAAGGAGTAGGGTGTTCTGTTCAATTGCGCCACACACCAGGGCGCTCACCTCCTTTTTCCATACAAACTCGCCATGTTATATGCAAATTGCAGCTCATGAATATGAATAGCAACTCAAACTTCACAAAGAACACAAGTCTTTTGTCTCTTCATGTATGGGCTTGTACTTCTTGTAATTGACCCTGAACTTGATTGATATATCATGCAATTTACAATGCTAAAAGCAACATTTATATCCTAGAAGCAGGTTTGTTTCACAGGCATGTGTGATTAACTTGATATGAACCAAATTTGATTTCAGTTTAAATTTTATGATTGTCATGGGTGTTGTATGTAATTTGAAGCTTTTCTTTCCAACCAGACTTAAGACTCCCAGGGTTAAAACCAATCTTAGCTTCATTATTGTCATTAGTTTGGGGTTTGAATAATATAAATAGAATACTAGTAGTTAGAAATAAGAATATTTCAGTCAAGACTTTAAATGAACAATGCATACATATAGCCAGATGTCATTCTAATTTAGATGTCAGGAGAATGCCTTCATATGGTTCAGATAGTTGACAGTCAAAAATAATTGTCAGTATTTCCATGTGATCAAAAAAAATAGTCAGTGATTTTAATCATAATATGCATTAGTTTAATTTTGTTGGTAATGAAAAGTATAACAGTTTCAAATGAAAACAAATGTGAAAACATTACTTACAGATAGTAGCAAATATCCACATGAGTCAGTTGTTTTGTTTTGCATGCATATAACTTTTTTTTTTATGTTACAAGCGTTATTATTACTTAGCCATGAATTATAATAATGTACAAACAAAAATCAATTCTTTAATATGAAATGTAAGTAAAATCAAACTTAGATTAACTGTAAGCGAACACAAATGCAAGTTGAGCTTAATTTGTGTCTTTTGACCTGACAGGTCAGCTCTGCTATTACCCAATCAAAATTCTATGTGGTACATGTATAGCCGAAACTATACATGAATTATCATATATTAGTGATGGCAAACACGGAAGTCTATGGTAAAACAACCAAACATATTTTATTGGTCAGGCCACAGCCCCTCTATCAATAGAGGGACTGTGGTCAGGCATACAAAATATATAATATTTTGAGCTAATATGTGCTTCTATTTGAGATGTGCTTCCAATTAAACAAATTTATGCAATCTTAAACCATGAAGACATTAATACAAATGTGTGCAGTGCACATTTACTAGCAAACTAGTAAACAAATTAGCCAAACCAAATATAAGTGTTGTTTAAATGCCCCAGTATGGGCTAAAATAAAAGGTAATCCAGTATATCTGCATATTGGCT